GGCTTTGCCAGCGTGGCCTGTTCTTTGCAGACTGCCAGAGAAAAGAGGCCAGGAGGAAAGAGGAAAGAGTTGAAATTGCCCAGGGGTGAGACCATGCCCTTCATCTTTTCTTTCCCCTAATTTGCTCTGTCTGTGTCCATCCAGGCTCTCCCCACCTGGCATAACTGCTCAGAGCTGCTGTAGAATTCACCCCAGTTTCCTCTCTCAGCCTGTGGAGTGGGGTCCAGCCTCTCCCTGAGCACGCTGAGAGGAACTGGCCGTCTTTGATCTCCACCTCCAGGTAAGATTTCGTTCTCTGCTTTCCTGCTTTGTGGCTCTCACGTCTGATTCTCATAGGAGAGAGGCTAATCAGCCTTTCAGTTCTGCACTACCAGCGTCTTACCCACACCCACCATCAAAGTTGTTGGGGCCCTTGTTAGGTTGATAGAAATAGCAAAAGGACACTGGTTAAAGTCAGGTCACCTCAGATCTGGGTTCAGATTTTGACTCTGAGAACTTATTAGTTGGGTAGTTCTTGACCACTGAATGGCTCTGAGTTGGATCATTTTCTGTAAAATGGGTATTCTGATGCTTACCTCGTTGAGTTGTTTTTAGGATTAGCAAAAAGTCTGTCATTCGCCTGGCACATACATAAGTACTTATTCAATCTGAATCTGACACGAACACTTATTTGTATGTGGGGGGGGGGGGGCTCAGCCTTCTTAACACACACTCCTTGTTGCAAGTACTGTGAGATTACTTGGTGCCCAGAAGACCAACTAGTCCAAAGGTTTTCCTCGTGTGGGGTGAAGTAGAAGAGGAGTGGAGAAGAGGGTGGTTCTTTCTGACTTGCTCTCTGGCAGTCTTTAGGGTTTGACGGTGGTTGGAGTTTATGTCACAGGATCACAGCACGGAGGTTCTGGGCATGACCCAGTCATAACATGCCGAGGCTGTCTGTGCTCTTTAAAGACTGCGAGATTGATTTTCAAGCCCATGTGAACAGAGAATTCCTTTTTTTAAAAAAGAGGAATAGAGATTTTCTATTGTTGTATATCTATTAATATATTATTTTATATCTATTAATAATAATCTATTCTGTTATCTATGGTTGGCTTCTTTTTCTTTGGCCCCCAAAATAAGATACACTCCAACCCAGGTTGGATGAAAACTTTGCCATGACTCTTTTTCTGGTGGAATCTGTTCAAGAGGTGGGAGAACAATTAAGGATTTGCCAAATGCAAATCCTTCTCAATAACTGTGTTCTTGCTCTACTTCTGCGACTGCAAATGAATGGAGAGAGAGAGAATTTGGAGGATCTTTCTGTTCAGGTCCCTGAGCTCGCCTTCCGTTTCTTTTCACAGAGGGATGAAAAGCTCAATGTTCATAAACATAGCCTCCTTGAAACATACTATCCTTGAGATGATATGCAAATTAGCCACCAAGATTCTGTAACAATATGCAGTGTCAGTGTTTTATATTATTTTGCCCTAATACCACATCATCTAGGATGACCATAGTTCTCTTGTTTTTGTTATCACTTCTGGATTCTAGTTAGAGTGATTTTTGTGTCATCACCTCCTAAGTTTAAGAAGACAGTGTGTTTGGTGTCTCAAGCTTTTAGTATAATTTCAACATGATTGTTTTTCTCTTTAGCATTAGCATTCTGGATTAGTGTAGTGATAGTATATTTAATTATTAAAGGATTAATTTGCCTGTTCTTGTCCACTGGCTTTATTATGACTGGCCAGAAATAATATATTGAACCCCTGAAAGAGTAGGCCAATTTGAATGATATTTAAATTTTTTCTGGTGAGTATTTCTTGCTTGGTGATATGTTTGTACTTGTAATATTTAAAATATTTTTATATGTTCATTATAGAAAAATTAGAAAATATAGACACACAAAGCATATTTTTTTTTCAAAATTTTATTTATTTGACAGAGAGAGATCACAAGTGGTCAGAGAGGCAAGCAGAGAGAGAGAGAGGAGGAAGCAGGCTCCCCGCAGAGCAGAGAACCCGATGCGGGACTCGATCCCAGGACCCTGAGATCATGACCTGAGCCGAAGGCAGAGGCTTAACCACTGAGCCACCCAGGTGCCCCACACAAAGCATTTTTGAAAACATTATCTGCATTGTCACCAACCAGAAATAATGTGTTAACCTGTTCTTTAAAGATTTTCTCAAACTTTGTTGTTTCATATACACATGTGAAAATGGGTGCTTCTTCTGTAAAATAGAGTTTTATATATATTGTTTTTCACCATGGATTTTAAAATCACCATGGATTTTAAAAATCAGTTCTCTAATAAACATATTCTATATAGTTGTATTTACTTCTTATACTAATTTCTAATGGGTTCAAAAGATTTCACTGTATGAATAGACCATAATTTGTTGGACATTTAGGTCATTTAGTTGTTTTGACTTTTTATTATTATTTGTTATTATCAAATTATTATTATTATTATTAATAGCTGTGTGTCTCTGGCAGTTTAATTAAAGGTACTCAGTAGTCTTTTAGTGTGAAACCTAACTAATATTGCATAATCCAGTGTTTCTCAAACTCCTTTTTATTGTTCTGACAAAGTGTTGTTCTGGACAACTAGCTTCGTTGACTCTGAATGTACAAAGTTGGCCATTGGTATCAGATAGATGGTAAAGAAGAATTTCTATGTCCTTAGTTTCTTAGAATTTGTGTTTTTTATAAATCAGGAATGGATGTTGTATTTTATCACCTGATATTTTGCATCTATTGAGATTTTATTATTTATTACTTTGAATTCCTTTTTTTCCCAGCTTTACTGAGATGTGATTGACAAATAAAAATTGTATACATGCATGGCATACAATGCGATGTTTTGATATACCTATATAACTTACTGAATTTTTAATGTGATGATTTAGGTGAATAAAGTTCCTAATATTGTTACATTTTTAAACTAGATCTTAATTAAAGAATATAAATTCGTTTGGATTTGCTAGTATTTTATTTAAAATTTTAGCATCTCTAAATTTCATCTGAAGTGTTTTTTTTTCTTGTACTATCTTAATGAGATTTTATTATCAAAATAATTATGTCTTTTTAAAATGAATAGACATTTTTATTATCTGTTTCAGTTACCTACTATTTTCTCCTTGAAGGATATCCCTTGATAAAGCACTCCTGTTACATCATCTATCCTTATTAGTTTTGTTTAGGGGATAGTTTTAGAATATTTTTGGTAGTGTCTTCCTTGGCTCTTTTTCTTTTCTGGTTTATATTAATACAGGTAATTCTTGCTAGAAAATTATCTATTTGGTCAAGACTTTCAAGTTATTTTTATATATTATGCATAATTTTTATGTTTTATACTTTTGAACATCTTTGTTTAGAACTCACTAATATAGTATTCTCATGTCCTTATCTTTTGATCTCGCTTAACATTTTCTGTTCTTTGTTTACTTTAGTTCTTTGGTTTTTATCTTTTTTCTGTTTCATTCGACTTTCCTTTGCCCATTTTTTAAAAGTTAAATTTAGGGCTTCCTGGGTGGCTCAGTTGGTTAAGCAACTGCCTTCAGTTCAGGTCATGATCCTGGAGTCCTGGGATTGAGTCCCGCATTGGGCTTCCTGCTCAGCAGGGAGTCTGCTTCTCCCACTGACCTCTCTCCTCTCATGCTATCTCTCTCTCATTCTCTGTCTCTCTCTCATAAATAAATAAAATCTTTTTTTTAAAGTTAAATTTATGCATCAAATAATCTAAGAATCAAATATATATATATTTTTTAAACAGGCCTTTGCTATACCCTTCTCAACTCATTTGCTACTCCTCCACTTCTAATTGTTCAGGTCTTTCTTTTCATATATAATTACATATTTCAAAATAAAATTTATTTTTCAGTTTTGAGAAATTATCAAACTTCAAACTGTGAAGGATGAGGTTTAGTAAACACAAAATAAGAATTACATAAAGTCAAGGTAATATACTCATAGACAGAATAAGCCTCAGTTATTACCACAGTACATTTAATTTTACTCGTAATCTTATTTCTTTAATTAGTGCTATGAAAATACAGATTTCTGTTAATGTGAAAATGCATCATCTAATAAATATGAGGGTGATCTAGGAGTTATTTTGTTTTCTAATTTCTTCAGATACATTACTTTTACAGGCAGGCATTGAGCCATACAAAATTCTAATGTAAGGCATGGGACATATAAATACTGATATGAATAGGGAGAAAATAAGTTCAGAGTATATGGATCTGTCCAGGGCTTGGTAAGGATGGGTGGATGGGAAATTAAGCATAGGAAGGGAGGCCATCTTTTTTACTTCAAGGCAGGCTAAAGTAATTTTTGCCTGAATTAAAGGTAAGCCTAAGGCACAAATCCTGCTGCTTCCTTATCTGTCAAAGTAAAATGATACATAAATGGTCCTCTTCTTTTTTTGCCATATTTTATACCTTTCTTCGGATGCTACAGACCTATAGGACTTGTAGTGTGCCATAGGGAACTACAGTGAGCATCAATATTTTCTATCCATTCTGTTAAGATAGATTTAAAGGCCTTAATGACTTAATTTTCATGAATCAATATTCAGATGGTTGAATTCCTCTTCCTTTTCTGCTTGCTTCTAGTTTAAGCTGGCAAGACCACAAAATTCTGCCTCATTATTTATTCCAAAGGCAACATTTAAATTTCTTCTTTGCCATAATGAGGCTTAAGCTGAAGGGATTGGGAAAGAATGCTGGCTAGAGAGTCCCGATAGCTGGATTAGTTAATCAAATATACTGGTCAATTTTAATTGAAAAACTTTGCCAGCTGACTGTGGTAAAGTAAGGTAGCTTCATATAGAATCATGTTCCCTACATTGTGATCTACTGTGAAATAAAAACATTATTTAATAAATGGTGGAGTTGAATTAATTTTTGTTTTGTTTTTTGTTTTTTTTGTGTGTTTTGTTTGTTTTGTTTGGTTGGTTGGTTGGCTTTTTACTATTGAAATCTACTTTGACAGGATCAGAGTCAAGGAATATTTCCATAATGGACACTTCATCCAAAGAAAATATCCAGTTGTTCTGTAAAAGTTCGATGCAACCTGTTGGGCGACCTTCCTTTAAAAAAGAATATTCTTCCTCAAAGGAGAAGCAAGGATGCTGTGGCGAACTGAAGGTAACAAACAATTAAATGGTAAACAAACAACGATAAGTAGTGAACGAAAGAGTAACAAAGAATTAGGTGGGAGGAAAAAGCCCACAGATTAGGTGGAGGCTATGTTGTTGACTCTCCATTCAGATGTGTGCTATGCAATTTCATAATTGATATTTCTGTACAATTACATATTTCCCATATGTAGCTAGAAGCGAGAATTTTTTTCCCTTTTTGAAAAGTGAACTTAGGTGCAATTATTAAAACATACTCTACCAGGCAGTGAAAGCCATCTCTTCCTACCATGTAGATTAAATTACTAAATATTACTTTCTGGGCTCATTTGAATGCGCCTCCTAAACTGAAGTAAGAGAGAAAAAGAAACTAACATTTATTTAGTTTCAACTATGTTCCAGATATTATACTAAGTATAGTTATAATATTTAATCTATAAAACATCCATATCATTCCCATTTTATAAAGGAAAATTTTGATTTTCCTCGCCACACAACAAGGAGCAGGGAAACTTTTTAAATGGTGCCTAGTGTGACTCCCAAGTTCCTGTTCTTTGTACCCAACATTCACTCAGCAAATACATGTGCTTTTTCTTTTTTTTATATAATGTTTTATTTTTTTATTAACATATAATGTATTATTAGTCCCAGGGGTACAGGTGTGTGAATTGCCAGGTTTATACACTTCACAGCACTCACCATAGCACATACCTTCCCCAATGTCTATAACCCCAGCACCCTCTATATGTGCTTTTTCATATAAATGCTAACCTCCTCCATGGATATTCCATCAGGGACTCAAGTCTAACAAAATATATAAGCCAGCTATTAAAAAAAATTCATACTCAAATGCATGAATTTACTTTGAATATGAACTTAAACATGAGGATAGTGGTTTTTTTGGTCTGTTGTGTCTCCTGCTGGTGCATGCGTCACCACTGTGAAACCCAAGTCATGAGTACGAGACTTATGATAAAATATTAAGGCTTTGAATTATGGTTCTTGTTTTATTTTCTTACCTGTGACTGGCTCCTTCCACTCTTGGCTTCACCATACAGTGGATTTTCCTTTCAAAGCCAAGACTCCTTCAGATGTCCTTTGGAGGAAGGGAAAAGAAGGGAAAGAACAGAATTCAACATAAATTCTGAACAAAATCTGCTTTAGAATTTGTATTTTTAACAATCTACCTGAGCTTGAGGCTGAAGGAAGCCTGTACCCATGCTTGAGAGAAATCTTCAGTGATAATCTTGTTACATTGTTCTTGGTTTGCATTTTGTTTGTCTATTTATTGAGTTAAGTTTCCAGTTGTGTGTCAAGCTGGAGTCAGACTAAGTGTGATTTCTCCTAATTTCCAGGTATTTTTGGGTGCCTTGTCTTTCGTCTACTTCGCTAAAGCATTGGCAGAAGGCTATCTGAAGAGCACCATCACTCAGATAGAGAGAAGATTTGATATCCCTTCTTCACTGGTGGGAGTTATTGATGGTAGTTTTGAAATTGGTAGGTATTGCAGAAGCCTGGTTTTACTTTTACATGTCCTCTAGGCATGACTAAATGACATCCTCACTGCATTCTCTTGTCTGCTAGACTCTATCTGTAAATTCCTGTTGAGACAGAATTTGCTAGGACCTTATTGTACAGTAGAGGCAATTTGTTCTCTCTAAGCAACCAACAATAAATTTCCTGCCTCAGGTGTTCACTACTTTGTGATTCACACAATTTAGAGTTTCCAACCAGAGTGAGAGACTTTCTTGGAGGAGAGGGTAAGGTTCTATTAGGATTTTAAGTTTGAAGTATTTGGGAGGTATTTTTTACAAAAAGAGTCCTATATCCCAACAGCCCTGTGAATCAAAATTTGGAAGAATTCAAATGGGCTCTACAAAAATTTATTGTAATGATTTAAGAAGTGAAACAGTAAAAGGGGTTTCTGCCCAGAGGTCTACACAGAGGATAAAGAAAGCCTACTAATGAGAACAGTAGAGCAAGGCAGGCAAGAAAAATTCTGCTCTCATGTGTCTTTAGGTAGCCTTTGACTATAGACTTCTTCTTGGCACTTGAAAAGACCAAGTGATTTTTGTTACTGTTTTGGAAGTACTTTGAGGAGTATAATCCCAGGTAGAGCTTCCTGAAATAATAAACTACAAGGCTTTAATTCTTCATTGAAGTAAACAGAATGATAGCTCTGGGGTCCTTACTCCCTGTTGGGATTCAAATATATGCTTTACTTTATATAGAAAAATCTCTAATGGCTCCAGGTTTGGCTCACTTAAACTTTCAGAAAAGTGAAGAAATATTTTTTAACTCTGCAACAATGACTTTTTTAGTTCATACTGTATGTTTCAGTTCTTACCGTGAATATCACAGAAAGAATAAAAAGAATGAATAGGCAACATTTTACCTTTAGGGTTTTCTTCCCAAATCTGTCTGTCATCATCCTCCAGAATGAGATTATGTAGCTCAGTACTAATCAATAGTTAATGTGCCTACAAATAACTGGGCAGTCTTGTAAAAATGCAGATGCTCATTCTTTAGGAAGGGGAATAGGGCTGCCTTTCTACAGGCTCTCATATGGTGTGATGCTGTTGAGTCAATGGGCCGTACTTTGTGTAGCAAATTTCTAAAGCATGATCATATCACTCCCTTGTGTAAATTCCTTAGATATGCCTTGATAGTTGATGTATTCCTTAAGGCCTGTCTAATCTATAGCCTTAAACTGAGTGAAGGTAGACTGAGTCAAGGTAAGAGTGACACACTGAATCACAGGAAGAAACCAGTATGAAGAGGCAGTTGTTACAGATTGAAAGATTAAATCACACAGAAAGAACAAGAAATGAGCAGATAGAAAATTATATATCAACTATTAACTATTGCCGATTCTAGATTATGGTATAGAAACATTTTAGAGCCAAAGAGACTTACAATATGGTCCAAATTTTTCTTGGGTCCCCAGGTCCTGATGCAACTTGAGAGATTCTGTATTTGATAGAGAGTACCAATGTTTCACAGGAAGTGACAGAGGATCCTGAGAATAAATTCGTAGTAATTCTTCCAGACCATTCTAAGGATGGAAGTTATTTATTGAATTAGATACAATAAAATGTCTTCAGATCCTCTCACTTACACTGCAAAACTTCATTCCAAACATCGCCAGGTTTGCTCTAGATAATTGCAATCCATAATTTTTTCAGAAAAGTGGGTCTCCTGACCATGAGCTTAATCTACTCCTCTTGCATCTCTCCATATTCCTTCCTTCCAGGATTCTGGACCCACTCCCACCTGTCTCTACCTCTCATTTCTTCTTATTTACAGAAAAATTTCATTTATCCTCTGACATCATTTGGCATTATTATCTCATGTCCACATACTGGACACCCCATTTTTTCCCATGTATTTTCTCATAATGAAGTCTTTCTCCAACAACAGAGCTGCCAAGAAAATTGTTTAAAAAATGTTTTCTATATCATGACCTCCTAATATTTCCAAATATTCTCTTTCAAATATTTCCCCACATATTCTTATAAATATTGAAAAGTTTTGCTCTTCATATTTTAGTATTTAATCGTCAGATAGATTTTATAAAAATTTTGTTATTTAGAGTAGTTTTGGGTTCACAGCAAAATTGAGTGGAAGTTACAGAGATTTTTCATATATACCCTGTTCCCACAAATGCAAAGCCTCTCTCATTACCAACTTCCCCCACCAGAATGGGATATTTGTTGCAGATGATGGACCTACAATACATTATTGTCATTCAGGGTCCATAGTTAACATTAAGATTCACTCTTTGTGTTGTATATTCTATGGGATTGAACAAATATGTAATGGTTTGTATCCACTACTCCAGTATCATGCATTCTACTTTCACTGACCTAAAAGTCCCTCTGCTCTGCCTATTCACCCAAACTTTGCCTTACCCCTGGCATCCACTGATATTTTTAATATCTCCATAGTTTTGCCTTTCTCAGAATGTCATGTAGTTGGAATCATACAGTATGTAGCCTTTTTAGTTTGGCTTCTTTCACTTAGTAATATGCATTTGGGATTCCTCCATGTCTTTTCATAGCTGGATAGCTCATTTCTTTTTATGCCAGAAAATAATCCATTTTCTGGATAGGCCTTCGTTTACTTATCCACTCACCCACTGAAGGACATCTTGATTGTTTCAAAGTGTTGGCCATTATGAAGAAAGCTGCAGTAAACATCCCTGTTCAGGTTTTTGTGTGGACATATTTTCATTTTCAGCTCATTTGGGTAAATACCAAGGAGCATAACTGCTGGATCACGTCGGAAGAATATGTTTAGTTTTGTGAGAAACTGCCAAATTGTTTCCCAAAGAGTTTGTACCATTTTACATTCCTATTAACAATGAATGAGCATTCATTTTGCCCTGTGCCCTCACCAGCATTCAGTATGTTGGATTTTGACCATTCTAATAAGTGTGTAGTGGGGTGGCTCATTGTCATTTCAGTTTCCGGTTCCCTCATGTCGTGTGATGTCGAACATCTTTTCATATGCTTATCTGCCATCTGTATATCATTTTTGGTGACCTATCTGTTATTTGGCCTATTTTTAAATCTCATTGTTTGTGTTCTTCTCATTGAGTTTTAAGTGTTCTTTGTATAATACTGATAACTGTCCTTTATCTGATGTGGCTTTCTTTTCATCCTTTTGACATTATCTGTCACAGAGAAGAAATTTTTAATTTTAATGAAGTCTGGCTTATCCTTTTTCCTCTTTCCTTTTTTTTTTTTTTTTTTTTTTTTGGTCACAGATTATGCTCTTGGTGTTGCATCTAAAAAGTCCTCCCCAAACCTGAGGTCATCTAGATTTTCTCCTAAGTTATCTTCCAGAAGTGTTATAGTTTCACATTTTATAGAGGTCTCTGGTCTCTTTTGCCTTTACTTTTGTGAAGAGTGTAAGGACTGTGTCTAAATTCATCTTTTTTGCATGTGGATGTCCAGTTGTTCCAGGACCGTTTGTTGGAAAGATTTTGTTTGCTCTATCTCATTACGTTTGCTCCTTCGTTGATGAGCAGTTAACTATATTTATGGAGGTCTGTTTCTGGACCTTATAAGCTATTCCACTGATCTATTTGTCTATTCTTTCACCGCTGTTACACTGATTAATGTGGCTTTACAGTATGTCTTGAAGTTCAGTAGTGTCACTCCTTTAACTTTGTTCTTCTTCATTATTGTGTTGGTTATTCTCAGTCTTTTGGCTCTCCATTTTGTCAGCTTAGAAACCGTTTTATCAGTATCCACAAAATAACTCCCTGTGATTTTGGCTGAGATTTGAATTGAATCTACAGATCATGTTCAGTAGAACTGGCATCTTGATAATAATGAGTCTTCCTAGTCATGAACATGGGGTGTATCTCCATTTATATAGTTTTGCTTTTACTTCTTTCATCAGAGTTTTATGGTTTTTTTCATGTAGATCTTGTACATATTTTATTAGATTTATTCCTAAGTATTTTATTTTGGGGTGATAAAGTAAATGCTTTTTCAATCCCATTTATCCATTGCTGGCCTATAGAAAAGCAGTTTACTTTTGTATATTAGCCTTGCATCTTACAACCCTACTATAATCATTTATTAGTTTCGGGAGTTCCTTTGTCAGTTTGGATTTTCTATGTAGATGATCACATCTTCTGGGAGCAAACAGTTTTATTTTTTCTTTCCCAGTCTGAGTACCTTTACTTGTTTTTCTTGTCCTATTATATTTTTTTTCATTTTTAAAGATTTTATTTATTTATTTGACAAGAGAGAGATCACAAGTAGGCAGAGAGGCAAGAAGAGAGAGAGGGAGAAGCAGACTCCCCACTGAGCAGCAGAGAGCCTGATGCAGGCCTCGATCCCAGGATCCTGAGATCCTAACCTGAGCCAAAGGCAGAGACTTAACCCTCTGAGCCACCCAAGTGCCCCCTTGTCCTATTGTATTTACTAGGATTCCCAGTACAATAATGAAAACTAATGGTGAGAAGGGACATTCTTGCTTTGTACCTGATCTTAGTGGGAAGCTTTGAGTTTATCGTCAGTAAGTATGATGTTAATTCTATGTTTTTGTAGAAGTTCTTTATCAAGTTGAGGAAATTTGTCTCTCCTGCATTTGCTGAGTTTTTATCATGGATGGTTTTTGGATTTTCGTCAAATGCTTTTTCTACATCTATTGATATGAGCATGTGATTTTTCTTCTTTAGCCTGTGATGTGCTAGATTATATTATTTGATTTTCTAATGTTTAACCAGCCTTGCATGCCTGGGATAAATCCCACTTGGTCACATATTCTATATACTGTTGAATATGACTTGCTAATATTTTGTTGAGGATTTTTATACCTGTGTTCATGAGATATTGATTTGTAGGGATTTTTTTTTTTATCTGGTTTTGGTCTTAGGGTAATGCTGAGCTCATAGAAATGATCTAGGAAATTTCTCCTTTGCTTCTGTTTTTCAAAAGAGATTATAGAGAATTGGTGTAATTTCTTCATTAACTGCTGGA